TACATAATAATCTTACATGACACTTTGGAATAGTCCTTGAGTTTTGCACGCATTGTAAATGATTGTTTTACAAAATATGTACTTTGATAACTAAATCATGAATCCTGAATAATTGTATACAATTACTATCATACATGTACATGCATAATATTAAACAACAAATACAACGAAGGAAAAATGACAAATAATAGCGTATGTATACTCTTTTAAAGTCCCTAGACCTCGAAACTTTAATAGTCTAATATGATAAACCTGATACTCAAATAAAGAATTACCAATATTACAAATCTTACATAGATATTATCGAATGTAACAAGTTCTGTAAATAAAGGGAGGTAATTAGAAACACATTTTGATAAATACTTTGCCTATTCTTCATTAAAATAAACTGTATTATTTCTAAAAGAAAAACTTATAATGAACCTAAAAAATATGTGTTATTTCAACATTTTCTTGTATGTTCATTTTGTTGTCAGGAAGGTGATATATATATTCTTGCTTAAAGATCCTGTATGTTATAATTAAGGATGTAACATCCTTGCGAAATATAAAGTCAGTTCTTATGAAAAACATATACTTAAGAAGTTGACATTATTAAACACATTATATGATATTTCTTGAGGAAAAAAGGTTGTGAAATTTTTATTTGAATGCAAAACTGATTTTTTTTACCAAAAACAGATTTCTAATTATCTCCTTTTATTATCGGAAATTTTAAATTTTGGCAATATCCTTATCAAAAAGGGTTTCTGTTTAACATTGTTAATTCTTTATTTAAGCCAAAGATTTTTCATATAAGAAAATAAAATTTTGAGTCACAGGATCTTTAAGTGTATGTTACATCTTTAATTATTACATACAGGAAATTTAAGTCCCATCAACCGATGATGTTGTATTTTGCAAATATTTTACTCAAAGTTTTAGCAATCAGGATTTATTATATTTTCACAGAATCGAACAGACCTTCATCTATCGATAAATGAATACTAGCGTGTCAGATTCCTGGCACGATTATTGGTGGACTTTCCCTACGGGTCTGTCTTCAGCGTTCACGTCATGTCATGGTATATAAACGGGTACGCTGAAGACCTTAAGCTATGAATGTACTTGCAATTTTATATCAAAATATCATATTTGTTGTTTACACTTAAATTTTTAAGGTGTAATTTTGTTGAAATTTCATGTCATATACAAGTGTCCATGTTATTTAAAAAAAATAATGGCTTTAATGGAGTACATATACTGTATTTTGGTTGATAGGAAAATGTATATTTGGGTATGTTTGATTATATCTTAGTGAAAGTGTATATTGTATTCATGATTAAAACAGCACTTTTTTGTATAAAACATTTATTTTTAGTATAATTGGGCAATATTTGGGTATATTTAGGCAATATTTGGGTATATTTGGGCAATATTTGGGTATTTTGTGCTGCCCGTGATAAACAGAATATTATATATTATGCAATTTTTGCATGCAGGTTCCTTACTACAGTAAGTTTATTGAACCGGCGGCACGAAATACCCAAATATACCCAAATGCACCCAAATATAGCAATATTTATTTTTGTTTGTATAAAATATAGATTATAACAGGGTTGTCATTAAGAGGCAGCAGGAGGCCAAAATGCCTGTCTCAAATGCATTATGGGCCACCTCAAAATTAAGAAAACACTCTTTGTTATGCATGATAAAGACAGAAATGACCGCCTCAAGTTCAAAACAAACCTTCTGCAAAAAATGTTAATGACAACCCTGTATAATGAGAAATAAATAAATATTTATTAAATATAATATGACTTAGCCTGCTATAATTTTCATTCATTCCGTTGAAATGGACAGTTACGATGTTGTAAGAAAATAAAGTTGTGACATTTGCTTATCTTAGTACTATATAGGTTCTTTATGAATGTAGACTACTTGCAATTTTAAATCAAGATATGATATTTGTTGTCTACACTTACATTTTTAAGGTGTAATTTTGTTGAAATTTCATATCATATACAAGTGTCCATGTTATTTAAAAAAAAAATAGCTTTAATGGTGTACATATAGACTGTGTTTTGGTTCAAAACACAATGATAGGGAAATGTATATTTGGGTATGGTTGATTATATCTTAGTGAAAATGTATATTGTATCCTACCGTGACCCAAATTCGGCGTTCTCCTAAATTCGGCGATGTTTTGTTTTTCATCATTCACGCGAGATTGAAGGTGAAGATCAATCATGTTTATGTCCCACGGTCTATTTTTACAACTCCAGTGATTTTCTGCGCTAAATATGGAGATACGGCTGGTAAACATTAAACATTGTATATGACACAGAGAAAATTGTGTGTTTTACCTGATGCAATTTCAAGTTTATCTATACTTTCCTCTATTTGATTGATATTGTTGCTTAAAATAATTTGACAGTCGCCGTTTTTTATCTAATATTAAACTTACTATTTTTACTGCCGATCTAGGTCAACATACTACATCACAATCCCGCCAAAATAGAAAATTTACTGCAACCAATCAGAATCGCCGAATTTAGGTGACGTTTTCAGATCGTAGTAAGATTTTACATCAGCCATATCTGTTTATATTTGGCAACCGCTGAACGATTACATGGTTAGAAATCAACTTAAACTTAAAGTAACTTTTAAATATTTGTAGTAAAATTATATCAAGTATAATTATAGATTACTGTAGTTTATTGAAAATGCCATTGACATTTGTTCTTATATCGCCGAATTTAGGTCACACCGGGATATTCATGATAAAAACAGCACTTTTTTTAGGATAAAACATTTATTTTTAGTATAATTAGGCAATATTTTGGTATATTTAGGCAATATTTGGGTATATTTGGGCAATATTTGGGTATATTTGGGTGTATTTGGGTATATTTGGGTATTTCGTGCTGCCCTATTGAACTGTCAACTTGTTGAAAAAATAATACTGTATACCCTAGTGTACTTCATCAGTAGGTGTAATTACCCAGAGCTTAATTTGTAACGTTACCACAAAAGCTGGCATAAATAATGTCCACTGAAACACAACTCTTAGTCTTAATTAACCCTTATTTGTTACAACTATTTCCGTATCATATGATATTTGGTTACGAAATAGTGTGGGTACGAATAATGGAATACATTATTATTCGCAGTCCCTTAAGCCATCATTGTGTGAATTCATCATAATAAAACTTTTTCTAAAAATAATCGAAATATTCATTTTACCTTACATAGACTCTTTAAATATGACCAAATAAAATTTCTTTATTTGGGAGTAATTTTCAAACGGTGTTCATAAGAAATGTTACTCAGCTAAATCAAGGAAATTATCATTAGGCTGAACACTACCAAAACTTTCACGACTAAGTGGTCAAAATAACTTGTAACTCTCTCTGAAAATTGTATTGTTCACTTATTTTCATGAAATGATACATGATAAAACTACGGACATTAATTACAGTACAGTGCTCAGTTTATCTCGAGACATAGATCTACATCTCTGGAAACACCAACATTTTTCTATTTACAAGTTTGCTTTGAAAGGTTGAGACGATATTCTTGTGAAAACGAAATGCCACTTTTGTATAGTCAATGTGTTTTATCCTTATTCTAAAAGAAATAAAGATACCAGTAGGTGAATCATTGGTCAGAAGGTTCCTTACATGACCAGGAAAGTAAATCAAAATAAAGTGAAGTCTAAAACCAAAAAAAAAATGTAAAAGAAATTGGAATCAATGTGATTTCCTGGGAAAAAAGGGCTGCCAGAGGATCAAGAAACGGGTTGATTCAACAAAAGATCTAATTAAAGCACTGTGTCCACCCGGCCTGTTTATTATTTTTGTGATATGATATTATTTCATTCACTTTTCGCACTGTACAATGTACGTACATGACTGATTGTGTTTCTTGAATATATTTACATATGCGCAATGTAGGAAACATCATTTCAAAATGTTTTTTTTTTATTTTATCGAATTTCATTTTTCTAAACAAAAGCCATAGTCAACATAACAGTTACTATATATTGAAGAAAAAAAAAATAACATTCTCATTTCTATTTAAATGCTGAGTAACCTGAACAAGGCTTTTAAGATCTATATGCCCCCTCCGAAACACAAAGGAATTCCTCTACAGTCTGTTATCAAATAAAGGTTAATTGAATTTTGCAGGTCCATTTATTTCTCTAGAACTTGTAATTATTCTACTTAATTACTCCAAGAGAATCATTTAGAAATTACCAAAACCGGTTACCAAAACCTGGATTCTGTAAGCCTTAATTCTTTCTTGCAGTCAAACATAAACGTTGGTTCCACATGTAAGTACATGTAGTTATCGCTACATTTACTATATAGTTAGATCCCCGTTCCTCTGTATTTTATACCGTAAATGATTGCGGTTTTTATGACAACACTATAAACATATTAATATAAGCCGTTTTGAAAGAAAAAAATTCATATTTCATCAAACTATAATAATATTATTATAAACATTGAAATATGAATTTTTGTTCAAAACGACTTATATAAAGTTTTTTTTTATATACATGAAAAGTACATGTGCTTACATGAGATTGACAAATGTACATTTTTATTTGGACTTTAAATACGCTTTGAGCTCCTCATCCAAGTGTCTGTGTCTAAACACTTTATCAAAAATATTTAAACACGAATTTTAATGGGGCATCTATTACAACGATAAAACTAGTTTTAACACAATATTTACATATATGAAAAATACCGTATACCATCAAGTCTGCATACATATACAACATGTACAAGCAAATATCTTTTCTTTGTTAAATTTATTAAATATAAGCGTTTATAGATTAAAAAATAAAATAAAAAAATATATATATATATATATATATATATATATATATATATATATATATATATATATATATATATATATATATATATATATATATATATAAACCTGTAAAAATTACATTGTCGTGTTTTGGTGAAAAAAAGAAAAGATTGGTGACATCATCAAAAAATACTTTATCATTGTCTCCATAACAATTGATTCTGTTTTACGAGTTACTTATTACATTGTACTTCGTATGAACTACTTTTAAGTTTTTTTTTTTTTTGTTTTGTTTTTTTAATTCGATTTGTCTACTGTATAGAACTTGATATGATATTGAATGTTAATCACTTTCATTAATAAGTAGACCTGTGAATGTGTTCCAAATTGAAGGTGTATTAACCCAAAGGTTATTTCCATCCGAAGACGATGGACTTTTTACCCAGACTTTATTTCCCCTTTTGAGAAGAGCAAGTCCGCTGACTGCGTTGCAAGAATGGTATGCACTGTCTTCATCTGTCAAGCGCGTTTTCATAATAACATCATTTTCGGAAACAATGTCGATCCTCACATATTGGCCTACCCAAATACACAAATGTACGCTGAATTGATACAGCCCACTCACTGGCGCAGTAAACACTCCTGTTTCATTGTTAAAGCCAGAACCCTTGTTGTTGAGAATCACTGGAAATACTAACGTTTGCCCATGTTTAATGCTTGAGGAATACGTGCCACGTGCAACAAAAAATACGACCGGTACTGGATTGGTGGATTCTGAAAAGATAACATTCATTAGAAATATGTTACTTTCTATATATACTGTATATATTCGTCGAAGGTTTTTTATATAGTTCTCTTTTATGTTGGAACTGCAAAAACACACAGAGACAGCAAAATAATTAAATAATCAACACAAAGACAGGAGTTAGGTTTTCACTCTACAACTGTAATTCAAATCTGCCGTGCGCATGGCATGGCGGTAAAATTTATGAGCCGAAAAATTTTGAGGCCCGTCACCAGTTTTACTAAAATAGTAAAATTGAATTTATATAATGATAATGAGGCCTTTTATAGGATGTAAAATATGAGATGAAGAGTGGATGGACAAGGAAGAATATATTAATAAGTAATGCACTATACATCATATAGGATATAGTAATGGTAAAGTATATACATGTATATATAATGACAAATGACCCTGACATCTACACACATCAACACTTGCTTTATAAAATTAATCTTACGACATTCTATTTAGGGTGCGTTTGTTTACAACAAGCAGTGTAGGGACTCTCCATTTGTTTTGTAAAACTGGTTTGAGACTGGAATAGGTTTGTTTTTTGTACCATTTGTTTTTTGTTGTTTTGTTTTTTAAAATCTGCAATTGGCTTGTCAACCAAACTGCCACATGTTCAAGAGGCGGTGTGTACACTTTGAGGAATCTAGTTCTTTAAATATGGATACTATGCTATTAACAAATTTAATATAATATTAAAGATGACTGACGCTTTGAAAATACGTGTCATACACCGCTTATAATTTTCATCTTTTAAAAGAATGCCAACAATTGTTAAGTATATCTAACGATCATATATGTGTTAAAACTTGTGTTTCCTGGCATAGAACGTCTTAAAATCAGATAGAGACACATAAATTGAATTATACAAACATAGCAAGTGATGAAAACACAACGAAAATATTTACAAAAAATAAATAAATAAAACACCAAAAAACATACGTTTTAAAGCCTGGATTTTTTCTTGCAAACCAGCATTTTCCGTTTTCAGATTGTCAATTTCAATCTTTTGATTCGCTTGATCTTCTTGAAGATCCTCGAGACTTTTCTGTACATCTTGCTTACGATATTCCAAAACCGAGATCACGTGCTCCTCTGTTTTTCTGATCTCTTGTAGCATTGCTTCAACCTTCAATTGCGTTCTTATCATTTCTTCAAGCAACTGTTTTTCTTTAGAAGCCTGACATGTTTCAGTCCCGCCGTCAGCTCTAGATGGTGACAGAAATGCCAAGCAACTTAGAAATACTACCAAATTAACGCTTCGAATTGCTCTTTCCATCATTAATTTTTCAAAGATGTACAGCTTAAGTGTGATCCAGAGGAGGGCGTTTAAAATATTCAATCAGGAAGTGAAGGCGGAAGATAAAGAGGAATGTTTTGTAACAAAAGAAATCCTCAAAGTTATTTGTGTCTCTTCATTGCCATAGAAGATTTTTAAAAATTGTGGTAAAAATGAATCCTTTTTTTTATAAACTTTTTTAGTCTTTTAAAAAAAATTTTTTTGCTTTTAAAAGTATAATTTAAAAAAATAAAGGGATACCGCTAGCTTTGGGACATTATTATTTTCGAAAACATGTATTTTAATACTGATAAATTTGCATTGCCCCCTGAGTTTTTTAATTCACTAAAAAGCTATTGTCTTAGTCGCGCTTTTGGTTTTTCAACCCCCCCATCTCTGGCGGGGAAACTTCCGGGGGAAATAGTTATTTCTCTTTCATTGAGACCCATTTTTGAAAACGAATCTTCGGGTTTTTGTTTACTCATTCCCTTGGGTATCCCATGAGGGACCTAGTAAAATTGGGTTTTTTCACCCATATGTGAGACCCACGATTGATATTTAATTTTTAATTGAAAACCCGGGCTCCACCAGTTACCATATTAACAAGCAAAGCCAATTATCATAGAATTTCTCAAGCAAATCCATGTTAGTCCCCTTTACCGGTTAGAACCCAGCAACAATTCTGAAGGGCTATTGGCCGTTCACTAATGTTTCCATTTTTCTCTATTTTAAGTAAATTTGTTGGAAAAGTTCTTTAATTAATTTTTATTATGAAAATATGGCAAATTTAACACATAAACTGGATGTAGTGATAATGCAAAAAATACTGAAAAATTTTTTCATGAAACTTGAAGTATGGGTAGATGGCAGTCTGGAGATTATGCATGTCTTTTTCTTTTCTTCCTATTTTGAAAAAAATGGTTGCCATGTCAACAAAGAGGCTTAAAACATGGCAAATAAACTTGCCTAATGATGAAAGACTTAAAGGTAAGTTTTATATGCATCTGGTCTTAATTTGTGTTGACCCTTCAGCTTTGGTTTTCCTTTAGTCTTATTGAAGCCCAATTTTTCTTTTAAAATATTTTTTATTTTTAAACCAGTTTTTCCCTTTAGTTTCTGTTCAAAAATAAAAGGGAAATGTCTATGACAGGGTCCTAAAATTTTTGTGAAGGATCAATATATAGCTTAGACTTTGTAAAAACAGATATTCAACTTCATACAGAGGAATGTGTAAGATAGATAGAAAGATGTTGTAATGCTTGCCTAAAATATATATTGCAATCATTTGTAACTTTGATTATACTGGTATGACCACTTTCGAGCTTTGCGAGACAGTCCGATTAGTGTACCCACTGACCTCACAAACAACTTACAGCTGCTTAACTTTAGCCTTTTGTTATTGAAAAAAGTTATAAGAATGGATTGTTAAAGTACATGAATTAGGTAGGGTAAAGGTTCATAAATGTGGTTAATATCTCTATTTCAGAAACTGTAACACAGAAAAAAGATAGCCCCAACCAAGGAGATTGGTTTTCCAAGAGACGTCACCTTATTGAGGTTGGTTTTCTCAATCTTTTTGTCATAGTGCTCATTTTATATTATGGAAACTTTTGTTTATCCAAATTCGTTGCAATTGACATCTCCTCTACAACAACATGGTCAAATTGGATCAATCTTGATTGAAATGATTGAAATTTAATTTACAAAAATCTAAAACCAGTTTTCTTATGATTTAGGTATAAAGCATAAATTTCTGGATCATAGGAACTGACAAAAACATAATTGTTCTTTGAATTTGCAAGGCATACATATTAAATGGCCTTGTTGATCCTGGGATGAAAAAAATGCCTGCTCATAAAGTAACGTTACAGTTTTATCATGGTCTTTCAAATTCTATTAGAAAGAACCTGGTTTTTTCTTGCATATTAGACAGGATTATCTACCGTTTACACCGGCCGGGTGCTAGAAAACTAGTATAAGAATCTTACACCGGCTGCCGGTACAGACCGGAATATCTAGCTCGAGGGTGACTGTTTACGGCGGTAACGAGGCTCTGCCGAGTTTCCGCCGTAAACAGTCACCCGAGAGCTAGATATTCCCGTCTGCACCGACAGCCGGTGTTTGATTCTTTTTCTTGCATATTACATATCAATTATTTTAGAACAGAAATTACGAAAACTGATATTCTCATTACGCACTTTTTTCTAATAGTAGCGTAAGAACTTTACAGCTTCATTCATAACGGTTACGTGACGTCATCCTAAGAACACAATTCATTCATAAAAGGCGCGCAGCAATGACGTCATTTAAAGCACGCGACTTGTCTTACATGAGGGTGTAAGACAGGGTTTTCTAGCACCGGTGTAAACGGTAGATAATCCTGTCTGATATGCAAGAAATAGATATCTTACACCCCCCCATGTAAGACAAGTTGCGTGTTATAAATGACGTAATTGACGCGGGCCTTTTATGAATGAATTGCGTTCTTAGGATGACGTCACTTAACAGTTATGAATGAAATTGTCAGTTCATACGCTACTATAAGTAAAAAGTGCGTTATGAAAATATCCCTTTTTGTAATTTCTGTTTGAAAATAATTGATATGTTATATGCAAGAAAAAGAATCAAACACCGGCTGTCGGTACACCGCGCTCACCAGTTACCATATTAACAAGCAATTATCATAGAATTGCAAGCAATCCATTAGTCCCCTACCGGTTAGAACTCCAGCAACATTCTGAAGGGCTATTGGCCGTTCACTAATGTTTCCATTTTTCTCTATTTTAAGTAAATTTGTTGGAAAAGTTCTTTAATTAAAAGTGATCACAGGAAATAGTTTTTATGAACAGAAAGACAGACGGACTGAAGGACACTCTTAAGTTAATTTTTTAAACATCCCCGTTACCAAAATATAACATTTTTAAAGCAAAATTCATAGAGAGGAGATAACTCTTGAAATAAAGATGCAAGACGTCATACATGATGTGATTGTTAACAAAGAGCAATTAGTAATGAAGCTGTTCATGATGAATGTTTATTTTGAATTTGAAGTAAAAGAAAGTTAAAAGAATGAATAAGAAAAATTCAAAGTTTAAGGAAATGATAATTCTGGAAATATGGATGCTAGATTTATAAACCTTGTCATATTATTATGATGTGGGAGTTTGAAGTAAATCCTATATGTAATGAAGAAGTTGGAGTAAAAGATACCAATTTCTCGAAAAAAATCTAAGTTCAAGGGGGACATAATTCTGGAAATAGTCTTGCTAGAATATTGAACCTCCTCACAAATGATTTGAGTGATAATAAGAAACATATACATCTAAATGAAGTTTGAAGAAGATACATTAAGAAATAAAGAAGTTATTAAAAAAAAAATTTCCATGAAAATTCTAAGTTCGAGGGAGGCAATTCTGATAATTTTTGTGTTAGAGTTGTAAACCTTGTCACATATGTTGTGGTTGATGACCAGAAACGTATATTTGAAATAAATACCTTAAGAAATAAAGAACTTATAGTGAAAAAGCCTAAAAACTAGAATCAGAAATCTTGACGAGGTTGCCCATGTTTGTTAAGTATGACAGCTCTCAATATACTCCCTATAGTCAAGATTAAAATGATGTGTATGATTTCCATACTAACATCTATCCATATTTTAAGTTTCATAAAATCACAAATATTGTTATATTTGCCATGTTTTAAGCCTCTTTGTTGACATGGCAACCATTTTTTTCAAAATAGGAAGAAAAGAAAAAGACATGCATAATCTCCAGACTGCCATCTACCCATATTTCAAGTTTCATAAAAAATATTTTCAGTATTTTTTGTATTATCACTACATCCAGTTTATATGTTAAATTTGCCACATTTTCAGTCTATTTGTTGTCATAGCAACCCGAATTTTCAACCTAGAAAGAAAAGAAAATGACATGCATAATCTCCATACTGCCATCTATCCATGTATCAAATTTCATAAAAATATTTTCAGTGCTTTTTGCGTTATCACGGGATCGAGTTTTGTAGACGGACAGACTGACAGACGGAGGGTAAACTTAAAGTGCCCTCCGGTAAACCGGTAGAGGACTAATAAAGGTTTTTCTTCTATATTTCTTTCATTTTCATTAACTTAATATATATCCAAAGCAAAACCTTAAGAACATGTAAAAAAGAACATATAAAACTGCAGTTTATGTTGAATAAAGTTTATTTCATCAATAACATCAGCCAACAATATATGTTTCAAGAAAACAATCACCAAAATATAATAATAAAATAGGTTTAAATGAAAAAAGAGAATCTTGGAATTTGTATTTGACTAGTGTAGATTTTGCTCTGCCATTTTTACATGACTCATGAAAGCTCAATGTGAAATTCATGAGAGCAAAATACAAATCATAAATCAAGAAACTCTAACAATGAGCCTTTCAATATACATGTAAACCACTTCCTATTTAACTCTTTATTCAACAATTACTATATTACATCAGCAAAAGCATTTCATTTCAAACAACCTACTACCTGTAGTACATTACAAATTTAATTTTCTTCTCCTTGTGATTTTCTTTTCATCAGGTCATAACATATTTAAAAGATATAAATATGTTAAAACGTGTACATGTATAAAAGATAATTAAAAATGTCTTGAGTTTTATTTCAATGTACATTTACTCACTTTTAAACTTATGGCATGGTAAAACAAAGCATTTTATTTAATTCAAGTGGATCCTTTTATCCTTGTTCATCTAATGAACAAGTTTTTTTTCTGAATGTAGTAGTAGTATCATTGTTTATCTAACTAACAAGTCAATACTGGACAATCATTTTTTATAATCTTTTCAGCAACTTATTCATTTCCATTCATTAAACTTGAGGGACAGTTTTGCATCCTCTTTTAAACACATATCTAAACACAAGTTATTTCCCTTTAACAAACAAACTTTCAAACTGTGTCAATTCACTAGCATTATTTCAAAATTTTACAGAGGTTAATGTCCATTAGGAATTGCTAAGTCAAATAAGCAAAGATGTTGTTTTCCTGTTATTTTACGTTGATTGCAACACAAGTTTGGCCTTATCTCGACGGTTGATCCACCTAACTAGCTTTCCTTGTAAAGTAAGCCTTGTGAAAGGACCTTTTAATCTGTTTTTATCATCTTTTACCACCTCTTTTCTTCATAGGTCCTTTCTTCCGTCTTAAATTCTTGTGTTTTGATTTGTAACTCTGGAAGATAAAAAGTGCAAATTGACTTCAAATTATTCTTGTTTAGTTGCACCATATTTTCTAATTTAACTTCATAAAAGTAAATTCATGATGTTTAACCGCATTTTGAGATGAACAATTATATGATGAACAATTTTGTGAAAGTACACCATGTACACAAGGCCAAATTTAATATCCAAAGCATTTTGCCATATGATATTTCAAGGTTTTCTATTTAAAATCAGAATCAACCGTTCATAAGCCTATATAAAACCAGGTTCTTTCAAATAGAATTTGAAAGACCATGATAAAACTGTAACGTTACTTTATGAGCGGGCATTTTTTTCATCCCAGGATCAAAAGGCCATTTAATATGTATGCCTTGCAAATTCAAAGAACAATTATGTTTTTGTCAGTTCCTATGATCCAGAAATTTATGCTTTATACCTAAATCATAAGAAAACTGGTTTTAGATTTTTGTAAATTAAATTTCAATCATTTCAATCAAGATTGATCCAATTTGGCCATGTTGTTGTAGAGGAGATGTCAATTGCAACGAATTTGGACAAACAAAAGTTTCCATAATATAAAATGAGCACTATGACAAAAAGATTGAGAAAACCAACCTCAATAAGGTGACGTCTCTTGGAAAACCAATCTCCTTGATTAGAGCTATCTTTTTTCTGTGTTACAGATTCTGAAATAGAGATAAACACATTTGTGAACCTTTACCCTACCTAATTCATATGCTTTAACAATCCATTCTTATAACTTTTTTTCAACAACAAAAGGCTAAAGTTAAGCAGCTGTAAGTAGTTTGCAAGGTCAGTGGGTACACTAATCGGACTGTCTCGCAAAGCTCGAAAGTGGTCATACCAGTATAATCAAAGTTACAAATGATTGATATATATATTTTAGGCAAGCATTACAACATCTTTCTATCTATCTGACACATTCCTCTGTATGAAGTTGAATATTTGTTTTAACATAGTCTTAGCTATATATTGATCCTTTACTACAAGTATTTTAGGAGCCTGTCATAGACGATTTCCATTTCTTTTTGAATCAGTACTGAAAGGAAAACTGGGTTCAAATCAAATCATATTTTAAAGAATAATTGCTTCAATAAGATCTTAAGGCAACCAAAGCTGAAGGGTCAACACAAATTAAATTAAGACTAGATGCATATAAAACTTACCTTTAAGTCTTTCATCATTTGGCAAGAAGAAAAAGTTTTTGGGTTTTGTAATATCCAAGGCTTGTTTGGAAGTTGGCTCTGTTGTATACATTTTCTCAACACTGAAAATAAAAGTTGGTCCATTATGACTTAGAATCCTCATTTGTTATTATGCTGAAATTTATTTACTAATTGAGAGCTCTAATGGGGTGAAAGATTTAACTTTAAACTTATTGATCTCTTTCCTGAAACTTCCCTTATCTATGTAATATAAAACAAAACTGGGACAAAACAGTATCACATCATATCAAATTTTTAGACAGGAAATTTTATGGTCACAGAAGTTTCATTTTCTGAAACTGGAAACCAAATGTATTATTTTTTTCTGGAAATTTTATGATGACAGAAGTTTCACTTTCTGAAACTTGAAATCATAGAAATTGCTTTTTCCAAATGTAATTAACATCATTACATGTATATTCCAGCTTTTATCATGTAATGTAACCCTGCTGAATTTTTGTAATCTGTAAATGTAATACTATCTTTGAAATTGGAATGGTCCATTAAGTTGCTTCAGGAAATTTGGTTATCAAATTGGTTATCAAAATTATATCTAAATTGGCTGATTTCATGGTCGATCTGGCTCTATAACTGTTGCAAGTCATTATCTCTGGAAAATTTGCTTGGGTTAATAACTTTATTTAAAATTTAAATCTGATGCAAGGGTCAATTACTTTATTCATAATTAAATCTGATGTGTTAATTATGTTTTAATTTCTTTATAATTTCTACTATCTTCTACAAATTGTGCTTTTATCACAAAAAGTTTTTTTCTTCTATTTTTTTTCTTATATTACAATTTTTGTTCAGGTTTATGCTTACTTTTTCTCCAGTTCTTTTCCAGCAATTTCTTTCTCATCATCATCCCCATCACTGTCTTCATGATGAGCATCATCTCTAACATTAAATCTATTAGCCAGTGAGAGTTGGTTAGTTCTCAGGACATCAGGTATTGGTATGGCAGAACCTATATAAATGAAACCAAAACATCAACATCATGTTAAAGGATGGCTAAATCTATAGATAATATTTTATACATCAGGAATAGGTACGACAGAACGTTCTGAGCTAATCTATGAATAGATCATAATACATCTGGTTATGGTTTGGTAAAAACAATTATTGGAATATACAAATGCATATAAGGTACAGGTATGGCCATATCTATAATTCAACAATTCCATAATAGTATACACTTCAACATCTAGCATTCGTTGCTCACTGAACTCATAGAAGAAGAAATTTGTTCAATGCATTTTCAGTAAGTTCTAGGTAAGCAGAAATGTCACCCTTCAATACCTTACCTTTCATTTCTTAATATTGACTACCCTTGAGAAAAAACTCCAAATGACCTGAGGCAAGTAGTTCATGGTTCATGCATTGTTTGGATAAGTATTTTTATGTTCAGAGCATAATAAAAGTTTGGTTTTCTTTCAAAGTTTCATCAAGTCTATAGTTACCTTCAGCACCTTTTGCTACGTTAGCATCATCATCACTATCATCATCACTGTAATGAGTACCAAATGCAGCTAGTAGAGAGAATCCCCCTCCACTTGAAGGGGCATCAGTCGTTGCCTTTGCTTTCTCTACAAATGTGTTCTTTAAGGTATCGGAAATCTCGTAAAACTTTTCCTTAGTCACTTCTGGCAAAATAACTGCAGGTTCTGTTTCCAAGGCAGTAACTTCCTTCTTCCCTTTTTTCCTTAAATAAACAAAATCGATTGTTAATGATACAAAAATATTTTTCCTAATCTAATTATTTTTTATTAATGCTGTTTCAATTTTGCTTTGTTTCATTGTGTTTCTGCCAACTTTCCTACTTAAAATTCTTGTGAAACATCTTATGTGGAATAAAGATTGTAATCAACATTTTGTCTTAAACAAAGTCTCATGAAAAACATTACAAATGTTTAACAGGAGAAGGATCTAGAATATTATTTTAGAATATAAATTTTCATGGATTGTAGGCTTTCCTCCTGAGATTATCATAAGAGACTTTTTAATAAACAAGATATGTTTGTAAAACATGTATGCCCCCTATCAGCAGCCAATTAGTCATGTGATAAGGTTATTATGCATGACTTCTGACCCAGTGATCAAACATTTAATAAGGGTTATAAAGTATCTACTGGTCATGACCTTGACCTTTGACCCCTTGACCCAAAACTCAATAGGGGTCATCTGCTGGTCACGACCAATCATCATACAAAGTTTGAAGTTCCTAGGCCTAGCCGTTTTAAGTAAATTGATCAGAAACCGTTTTTACCTACAAGGTCAATGTGACCTTGACCTTTGACCCCTTGACCCCAAAATCAATAGGGGTCATCTGCTGGTCATGACCAATCACCATGCCAAGTTTGAAGTTTCTAGGCCGAAGCGTTCTTTAGTTATTGATCAGAAACCGTTTTTACTTACAAGGTCATTGTGACCTTGACCTTTGACCCCTTGATCCCAAAATCAATAGGAGTAATCTGCTGGTCATGACAAATCACCATACCAAGTTTGAAGTTCCTAGGCCTAAGCGTTCTTGAGTTATTGATCAGAAACCGTTTTTACTTAAAAGGTCAATGTGACCTTGACCTTTGACCCCTTCACCTAAAACTCAATAGGGGTCATCTGCTGGTCATGACCAATCATCACACAAAGTTTGAAGTTCCTAGGCCTAAGCGTTTTTAGTTAATTGATCGGAAACCGTTTTTACCTACAAGGTCAATGTGACCTTGACCTTTGACCCCTTGACCCCAAAATCAATAGGTCATCTGCTGGTCATGACCAATCACCATACCTAGTTTGAAGTTCCTAGGCCTAAGGGTTCTTAAGTTATTGATCGGAAAGCATTTTTACCTACAAGGTCAATGTGACCTTGCCCTTTAACCCCTTAACCCCAAAATCAATAGGGGTCATCTGCTGGTCATGACCAATCACCATACCAAGTTTGAATTTCCTAGGCCTAAGGGTTCTTTAGTTATTGATCGGAAACCGTTTTTACCCAAGAGGTCAATGTGACCTTGACCTTTGACCCCTAGACCCCAAAATCAATAGGGGTCATCTACTGATCATGAGCAATCACCATTTCAAGTTTGAAGTCCCTAGGCCTAAGGGTTCTTTCATTATTGATCGGAAACCGTTTTTACCTACAAGGTCAATGTGACCTTGACCTTTGACCCCTTAACGCAAAAATCAATAGGGGTCATCTGATTGGTCATAACCAATCACCATACCAAGTTTGAAGTTCCTAGGCCTAAGGGTTCTTTTGTTATTGATCAGAAACCGTTTTTAATTAAAAGGTCAATATGCCCTTGACCTTTGACCCCTTGACCCCAAAATCTATACGGGTCATCTACTGATCATGACCAATCACCATACCAAGTTTGAAGTTCCTAGGCCTTAAGGTTCTTTAGTTATTGATCGGAAACCGTTTTTACCTTCAAGGTCAATGTGACCTTGACCTTTGACCCCTTGACCCCAAAATCAATAGGGGTCATCTACTGGTCATGACCAATCACCATACCAAGTTTGAAGTTCCTAGGCCTTAAGGTTCTTTAGTTATTGATCAGAAACCTTTTTTGCTTACAAGGTCAATGTGACCTTGACCTTTGACCCCTTGACCCCAAAATCAATAGGGGTCATCTACTGATCATGACCAATCACCATACCAAGTTTGAAGTTCCTAGGCCTTAAGGTTCTTTAGTTATTGATCGGAAACCTTTTTTGCTTACAAGGTCAATGTGACCTTGACCTTTGACCCCTTGACCCCAAAATCAATAGGGGTCATCTACTGATCATGACCAATCACCATACCAAGTTTGAAGTTCCTAGGCCTTAAGGTTCTTTAGTTATTGATCGGAAACCGTTTTTGCTTTTAAGGTCAATGTGACCTTGACCTTTGACCCCTTGACCCCAAAATCAATAGGGGTCATCTACTGGTCATGACCAATCACCATACCAAGTTTGAAGTTCCTAGGCCTAAGGTTCTTTAGTTATTGATCGGAAACTGTTTTTGCTTTCAAGGTCAATGTGACCTTGACCTTTGACCCCTTGACCCCAAAATCAATAGGGGTCATCTACTGGTCATGACCAATCACCATACCAAGTTTGAAGTTCCTAGGCCTTAAGGTTCTTTAGTTATTGATCGGAAACCGTTTATGCTTTCAAGGTCAATGTGACCTTGACCTTTGACCCCTAGACCCCAAAATCAATAGGGGTCATCTACTGGTCATGACCAATCACCATACCAAGTTTGAAGTTCCTAGGCCTTAAGGTTCTTTAGTTATTGATCGGAAACCGTTTTTGCTTTCAAGGTCAATATGACCTTGACCTTTGATCCCTTGACCCCAAAATCAATAGGGGTCATCTACTGGTCATGACCAATCACCATACCAAGTTTGAAGTTCCTAGGCCTTAAGGTTCTTTAGTTATTGATCGGAAACCGTTTTTGCTTTCAAGGTCAATGTGACCTTGACCTTTGACCCCTTGACCCCAAAATCAATAGGGGTCATCTACTGGTCATGACCAATCACCATACCAAGTTTGAAGTTCCTAGGCCTAAGGGTTCTTTAGTTATCACTCGGAAACCATTTGGTCTACGGACCGACGGACCGACAAGTGCAAAGCAATATACCCCCTTTTTTTCAAAATGGGGGCATAATAATTAATATGAGACTATATATAAATTTAGGTATAGAGTTAGACAAGAGTCATATATCAAAAGATCAATGAATTGCTTCTCACTGAGATTATTTGCTTAAAACTGTTAAAAGGAAAATAATCTGCTTAACTCATTTCATGACTCAAATAGTGATATTGTTTCTGACCTTTATTATATACAACTTAATCAATCAACAGGGGTATAATTTTGGTAAAAATATATCAATATAAAATTTACTTTTTCTTCCTTTCCACAGGTTGAGGCAGTTCAACTTGTTTAGACTCCACTTCAAACTGTTTATGCTCTTCACATGTTGGGTCATACATCAATGCTCCTATATCCCTGCAAGTGAAACATTAAATATAATCAGAACAGTTAACTAAAGTATCTATGATAAATGTTATCTAACATACTGAGGCATTCATTACCAAGTTGTTGCTGACTTTTTTGAGTCCCTTATTGCTGCCTACTGTAGGCTGGAATCCTACTAATATTTTGAAAAGTTGGTGGTCCTACTAAGGTGTCTCCTTAGTCATTGTAATGGACAGAAGGACATAAGAAGTCTTCCTTAACTAGCTATGTATGAAAGTTGTCATATGACCATAATGGTGAAAGCATGCCTTCAAACCCCAATCAAATCTAAGGTCTCAAATTTGTTATAACAAGCTTGGCAATTAGTTACATGAAAAAAGGATGATCATAAACTTAAATTTTTGCAATGACCAGAACATTTGTGTATCAAAAAAATACATCTTCACAAAAAAAAAATTGTGAAACATAATCTTTTGATTTTTATAAAAAAAAAAAAACCAAAGCTGTCGGTAGGTCAGCATGCTCAACTATACCCAGTGCTTGATAGCAAGAGAAAAGTCCGGATTATGTAGAATTTTCTATGTTTAAAAATGACCATAAATCTATCAAAATCCATGTCAGAGTTATGAGCCTTAGTTACTGACCTCCTATTATGTTCTCAAATAAGTGTGTGAGGTTTCAACCTATTCCTTTCAATAGTTTTGGAGATACCAACTTGCACCTAAATTAATTGATTATAGTTAATCTTGAGACCGATGCCTGAATAAGTACAATAGCTCTCCCTTCAAAATAGCCGAGCTTATAAAAATGCAAAAAAACAGAAATTTTTTATTTTTCTAGTCTTACTTGATTT